CAATTATAGGAACATAAGATTTAAACCTTGAAAGGATCTTAGAGATCATCTAATACAAATCTTTCATTTTATAGATGAGGAAATTCACAGTGAACTAGAGGAATTAGGAATTATAAATATGTAGCCCATTTTCTATTCCACTGTCTAGTTCCAATGGAGTATTTTGGAAATAAGCGTATCTCAGTCATGGCTTGAGGCCCCCACTAAAATGTGAAGCTTCAAACTTCTAAAAGCAACTTGGGTATAGGTTCATTATTTTTATCATTTTATTATTATTATATGTTATATAAGTTTATATTTATTTATTTATTCACTAAAATATTAGAATATTGGTTGATTAAATAAATTTATTATATTTTATTAATATAATAATATATTGTTGGTGTTATTATACAATGCTAAGGGGAAAAAACTAGGAAAACCATAGCATAGATTCAGTAGAAGCATTTACTTGAAACAAAAGAAGAAATAAAACAAACATTGGAAGTATCCTTAACAATCATTACCTAAATGAGTGCATTCCCATTGCCTTCTTTCTGGGCCAACCTCAGGGGGTCTAAAGGCCTTTGATAATCTGGAGAGAAAACTCTCCTATATCCAGGTTCTAGCCTGAAAACTGGGGAAACAGTGGGCTGTGTTGGGAACCCTGAGCTCTGACACAAATAATTCTCATCCACTACTCCACCTGGCCTGCAGCTCTGGCAATCTCCACAGCATTGTTGCCTTGCCTTCTTATAGTTGGCACCTGGCCCAAAAATCAACATATGGCTCTGTTCTAGTTCAACACTCCACCCTTGGAAGCTCAGGACTTTCCAGGCACCACATCTCATCCTCCCCCCTTGGATTCTTTGTTCTTCCTTCTTCTCTTCTCAAAATTTCCCTGTACCAAAGCGTCAATTTCCTAGAAGGTGAAGTAATGGTCAGACAGATTTGTCTGCAGCACAACACACTGGGAAGTGTAGGACTCTTGTTTATGACATTCCTTTCAGTGAAAAAAATTTTAGTCCCTGAAATGTATACAAGTTATGGATGGAAAGAAGGGAGGGAGGAAGGAAGGAAAGAAGGAAGGAAGGAAGGAAGGAAGGAAGGAAGGAAGGAAGGAAGGAAGGAAGGAAGGAAGGAAAGGAAGGAAGGAAGGAAGGAAGGAAGGAAGGAAGGAAGGAAGAATGAGGAAGGAAGGAAGGAAGGAAGGAAGGAAGGAAGGAAGGAAGGAAGGAAGGAAGGAGAAGGAAGGAAGAGAGAAGGAAGGAAGGAAGGAAGGAAGGAAGGAAGGAAGGAAGGAAGGAAGGAGAGAAGGAAGGAAGGAAGAATGAGGAAGGAAGGAAGGAAGGAAGGAAGGAAGGAAGGAAGGAAGGAAGGAAGGAAGGAAGGAAGGAAGGAAGGAAGAATGAGGAAGGAAGGAAGGAAGGAAGGAAGGAAGGAAGGAAGGAAGGAAGGAAGGAAGGAAGGAAGGAAGGAAGGAAGGAAGGAAGGAAGGAAAAGCCAGGGACTACCCAAGTTATAATCCAGGGCATCTTTTCTGATGACATGGTATATTGATCTATCTTCACCTGCTCTTTCAAAGTCCAATTATCCAGATACACCCTAATCTTCAAAGTGTTCTTGCATACTATCACTATGTATGAGACATATGAATTATGAGGTTCTATGACAGTGCCAAAGATGACCTTTTGGAAACAGTTTCAGAGGACACTGGGAAGACTTGTATGAACTGGCACAGAGTGAAGTGAGCAGAACCAAGAAAACAATGCATAAATAAAAAGAACATTGTAAAGATAATTTTGAAACACTTAGGAACTCTGATCAATGGAACGATCAACTATGAATGATTCCTGAGAACTCACAATGAAAAATATTATCCACTTCCTTAATTCAGAGTATAGACTGAGACAAATGTGTATGTACATATACACATACATACATTCATACATATTATATATATATATATATATATATATATATATATATATATATATATATATACACACACACACACACCTATACAGACAGAGATACACATACACATATGTATATGTATGTGCATAGATTTCCAGGTTAGAAATTTGTTTTGCTTAACTATATGTTTGCAATAGGAGTTCTGTTTTTCTTTCTTTCTTAGTGGTTGGGCAAGAGGTAGGAGAGGTGTGAGAGAGAGAAGGTAGGTTTTCATTGACTGAAAAATAATTAATTTTAAAAATAACAAAGATGCCTCATTCAAATGGTTCCTAAAGTCCTCCTCAAAGAGAAAGTTCCTGATAGCCCTGTTTGTTTGGTTTTTGTATTTTTGGTGAGGCAATTGGGGTTAAACTGACTTGCCTAGGGTCACACAGCTAGTAAGTGTCAAGTGTCTAAGGTCAAATTTGAACTCAGGTCCTCCTGACTCCAAGGGTGGAGCTCTATCCACTGCACCACCTAACTGCCCCACCAATAGCACTCTGAAAAAGGCTGATAGCTGTTGAGATGGGTTGTGTGCATACATACCTCCTTATATAATATCCCATATCCTATTCACACAATGAGAACTAGACAACCATAAGAAGAAAGAAATTATCAAGCACCAACTACGTACCTGTGCTAGGCAGTGTGTTAAGCATTTCATTGGGTCCTCATAACAACCTTTTGAGGCAGGTGTTATTATTATCCCCATTTTACAGTTGAAGAAGTGGAGGCAAATAGAGATTAAATGACTTGCCCAGGGTCATAGATCTAGTAAGTGTCTGCGGCTGGATTTGAACACAGGTCTTCCAGACTCCTGGCCCAACCCAAACACTAGTTTTTTCCTCAGATAATCTTTCCAATTCTCAGGCACTGAAAGAACCAAAAACAAAAAAAATCAAACTTCCCTCAATCCACTCTTAAGCTAGAGAAACCAGTGCTTCCTAAATACTCCCCACCAGCATGTCCTCAATTTTCCTGTAAGCACAGCAAACATGTATCTTCCTGTACTGGTCCCCATTCTGCAGTATTCTACCAACATTTTGAACAGACTGAAGTTGGTCCCAATCAATGAGGAAAATCCAGAGCTATCTGAAGGCCTGACTTTTCCAAGGGCACAGTGCCCATTTGTTTAATACATATAACCCTCTTCACTCATTTCATAAAGGTCTAACCCCTGCAGTATCATAAGAAAAGCTAATGTTTAAATATGGCTTTAGAGGTGGCAAAGTGTTTTATATAGCCACTCATTTAAGCCTTCCAACAACCCTGTGAGGCAGACAATACAGGAATTTTTACCAAACTTTTATGGATAAACTGAAGCTTAGGTTGAGTGATTTGCCCAGGGTCACACAGTAAGCAAGTAGGTATCAAATCCAGGTCTTCCTGACTTCAAGCCTATACTCTATCCACTACTCTTTGCTGCCTTTCATAAAGTGACTAAAATACAGCCATCACTTGGGATCTGCTGTGTAGACTAGCAGGATGTTATACTCCTTCCCTCCTCACCATGTCTACTGCAACGAGTCCTATGAGCCTCAAAGGAATGCACCCAGGAAGGGTGAGTAGGGCATAGGTTACTAAGTCAGCGAATAATGAGTAAAAAGACCAATCCAAATGCAGTGAGGTTAATCAAAGAAGACTTCCTGGAGGAGTATCCTGAGCAGAATTTGGGAGGAGGCAGACAAGAAAGAGGAGGGACATCCCAAGCAGCAAATGGTCCTTCATGAAAGTTGGGGATGATCTTTGTATGTGAAGTAAGATCCCTCTCCCATATATCTTAGATCCGAGGATATTGCCTGTCCCGGCCTCAGCCTGGCACAAGGGTCTATAAGGCTCCATCCCCAGGGGCAGAGTCCAGGAACAGTGTCTGATCAAATTGCCCTCTTCTTAGCACCAGGGTGGAGGAGGCCAGCTCAGGACTCCCTCAGAGATAAGGATCACACTTTGGACTCTATAGCCAAGCAGGCCCAACTGTTAACTCTTCAGAGGCTGAGGACAAGAGAGACCCAGGTCCCATCCTCCTATCCCCATTGTTTTTACATATCCCTTTCCTATTTAGTAGATGTGCCTCTGTGTCATGGCAAGTGGGGGAAACTGGCAGAGCCAGGTAAGGGAAGTATTTTGCCCTTCCTCATGACACTGAGTTCAACCAGAATGGTGCCCTATGGTCATGGCTTTATCCTCCTTGCCTGGAGTGCCAGGTCTCCTTTCCTAGAGGACCCTGTTATACATTTATTATGGTACTTTTCACAGGGTCTGGGGTTACCCTAGAGTTACCACTGGATTGCCAGCAATGACCACACCGGAGTATCTAAGGGGCATCATCCATTTAGGAACACCCAAAGTCTAAAGGGAAATTATTTTATTGATTCAAACATAGGCCACCCTTGAATATAGATCCCATCCCTAAGGTGAAATCTTTTTGAAAGGAAAACCATATAAGTGTGCAATAAAAATTAATACACATTGGGAACCACCCTCAAGTTTTATATATGCTTGATTAAAAAAAAAAAGTCTAGCCTATATTCTGGGTCTTTTTCCTCTAGCCACCTTCCCATTTACCATGATCACCTCTAGTTATTTATCTTTGGTTTTGTCCCATGACTTTTAAGGGCTTCACTGGTTTAAAAAAAAAATAGTGGTAGTAATAGAAGTAGTGGTGGTAGTGATAATGATGCAATTACCACAGTGGTAGTTAATAATAACAATAATCTTTCATGTGGTTCCCATCTGGGCATCCTTGGGGGTGTGTATGGATGTACATTATGGATCATGAAGAAGGCAGAGGGAGATCCATGGTACTTAAGTAATTAATTTAGCCGTGCCTGGAAGAGGATCCCTTTTTAAAAGTGTACAGTAGGAATTGACAGAGGAGGAGTGGCCAACTGTTCCTTGCAAGATCTGGATGGGAGAGAAAGTAGGGAGAACACTGAGTAAATTGCAGGGTGGAAACTGAGGGAAGCCTCCCACAGAGTACATACACCGTCCCAGTTCTGCGGAGGCTGGGCGGTACGGTAGCCTAGCCCCGCCCTTTCTTCCTTCCTGGCCTCCCCGGCCTGACATCAGTTCTGCTCCCGAGGCCAGCAGGTCCTCTCTGTCCCAGCGCCTGCCGGACCAGGTATCTGGGCTGGCCTTGCTGCCTTATCCAGGGACCTGTGCATTGGAGGAAACGCCTGGAGGGGCAACAGGAGCTGGGACACCTGGGGGAACAGGTTAGAGAAGGAGGGATGGAAGAGGGGGAGTGGCAGTGAGGGTGGGGGCAGCGGCAGGTGTGGGCACCAGGAGGGGTGGTGGTGGTGAAAGACAGGGCCCAGAGGCCAAAGCCCTGGGGGGCACAAGGATGAAGGGGGGAGGGAGTGCCCCAGACAGAGGGAGCAGGTGATGGCTCTGGGGGAGGCAGGAAGGCACCGGAAAGAGAGTGCATGGAGAGGCCAGGCTGGTGCTGAGAAGAGAGGGCATGGGAGCACAGAGTCCAGGAAACAAGGAACAGAAAGGTTCAGGCTCAGAGGAGTCGAGAGACTCCAGAAGGGGGAGAAGAGTAAAAACCACAAGATAGAGATGGGGAGTGAGGGTAAGAGAGGGGAGACAATTTGGGGGCCGGGAGATCGACACTATGGAATGCTTCCAAGGGACCAAGAAGCAGATAAAAAGGGCTTGCAGACTTGAGGAAGAGGGCAAGAGCATGCAGACAGAAACAGGCATGATTCGATTCTCTGCTCCCACAATCTCCCAGCCCCACCTGCCCACTCCCACACGGATGAATCCTGTAGCACAAAGGTTCTTAATCTGGAGTTAACAGACTCCCTGGTCCATGGATGGCTTTCAGGGGCTATATTAGCTTAGATGGGAGAAAATATTACAGATTTATTTCAATGCAAAGTTGGTTTCCTTTATAATTCTATAGAGTTTATTTTATGCATTTAAGAAATGTTGTTCTGAGGATTCCATGGTCTTTATCAACTGTCAAAGGGGCCCCAGAATATATGCAAAAAAGTTACAAAGCCCTGCTCTCTCAGTGAAGGGGGGCAGAGGAGAGGAGAGGGAGACAGAGACAGAGAATCACTGGGGTTCTGACCCAGTGAATCGGGGAGATCAGGTCTTTTTTCAGGGGTGGGGGTCTGATGTGGAATAGGGCACACTCCTAAAGAGAACTTAATCTCCCACATTACCTCCCTCCTGGTATCGCCACCTTCCACTTTCCTTTGCATGTGTCTCCACTCCTCACCCCCACCCTCTCTAGTCTCCTTGCTTCCCCTTCTTTTCCCTTTCTGGGGCCTTTCACCTGAGTACTGCTACCTGGCTTTCTAAACCCAAGGGCAGAGCCAGCACTTCCAATCACCCCATAGTATTGGTCTCCCTATGGCTTTTACCTCAGGATACAGGGGCAGAAAGTATAAGATGACACCAAGGGGCTAGGGGCTAGGATCAAGGGAGGAGTATTCTATAGAGGATGGGGCCATACAAGTAGAAAGTTAGGAGACCAGTCACTGGTCCACCACTCCCCACTGAGGCTGAGGTCTTCCTCCTAAATTAGAACAGGACTGAAGGACTTTGCCTTATGTATTTGTTTTGTTACGTGTATATGTATGCATATATCTATGTATGTATTATGTATCTACATACATATGTATACATATATCTATGTATATGTTATTTACATATGCCTGTGTTCCTTTCATCCTCCTCTACCCCCCAAAGGAGGACTTTTCTATATATGTGACCTGCCCACACATACATACCTAAGTGTCCTCTATTCACCGGTGTCAACAAACACCCCCTCATGTATGTACTAGCTAGTCAGCCACAGACCACTATGATCATGCCCATCCCTTCCATGACCTGTCAAACACATACCAATCTTACCCAAGAAAAAATTTACTTTGGGCCTTAGTTCCTTGCCCCACTCCCCAGGATGTTGTTCTTTATTGCCCCCTTCTCAGGCCTTAGGGACCCCTGTTCTTGACTTGCTCTCTCTGTCTGTCTCTCTTTCTGTCTGTCTGTCTTTCTCTCTCTCTCTCTCTCTCTCTCTCTCTCTCTCTCTCTCTCTCTCTCTCTCTCTCTTTCTCTCTCTTTCTGTCTTGATCTGTCTCTCTGCATGTGTCTCATGGCTTTCACATACCCATACACACATATCTCCCACACCAAAATCTGTTATAAGACTGACCTCTTTCTCCCCCTTCTGTTGAAGCCTCAGGTGACCCTTCCCTTCTCAGCCATGCTACCTCAGAGGTGACCAAGAGCACAGGCAATGAAGGGGTTCAGTACCCCAAATGAGGGCCACCCGGTCCATGGATTGGTGGCCTCTCGAATTGAAACCTATGGAGGAAGACTCCACAGCATCCCAAACCACAGAAACCCCAAGAACCTGTATCTTCCAAGGACTGCTCAACAGGTGAGAGCCGTGGCTTCCCAATTTGGTTCCCCCTCTCCCCTCTTGCCCCCTTTCTATCTTCCAGGGGGATTGACCAGTGAGGAGGCAGAGAAATATAATCAAAGGAAGTTTCTTAGCTACTTTTTTTCTGGACAGGTGTAAACTGCTCCAGAGTGCCCTTCCCACCTTCATTTTCTACCTTTTGTATGTAGCCTCAGTTTCTTCATCTGTAAAATGGAAATACATAATATATAATATACATATTATATACATAATAACATCTACCTCACAGGGTTGTTGTGAGGATCAAATAAGATAAAAATGTAGGCTTCTGCAAACTTTAAAGAGTTTTATAAATCTTGGCTACAATTTTTTTTTCCATTTTCCTAAAGGAAGGTAAACCTCCCACTTCCATGAGTGGACTACGGTGGCGGTGGGGATGTGGGACGGGGATTATTTAGGTTCCTTATTCTTCCTCAGTCCCAGCTTCTTATCCTTCCTACTCCCTTCCCTCTGTCCTCCTTCTCTTCCTCCATTCTCTTCTCTGTTCTCTTCCTTCTCCTTTGTCCTCTTTCCCCTCCCTGACCTTTCTCTCACTCTCATTTCCCCATTCTTCTTTCTCCTCACCTTCCTTCCCTTCTTTCAGCATCTTCCCCTCATTTTTACTCTTCTTTCGTTGTCAAGAAGATATTTACATTTGTCACCATGTTTGAACCTCGCTACAATCCTGCAAGGTAGGTGCTACTATTATCCCCATTTTACAGATGTGGAAACTAAGACTTGAGGGATTTGAGTGATTTATCCACAGGCACAGTGTCTGAGGTCAGATTTTAATCCCAGTCTCTCCTGATGCCATCCCTCACTCTTTCCCACTATACCACAATGTCTCCCCAAACTCCAGCGTCCTAGAGAGTGAGGGCTTCAGGGCACCTCTTAAGGTCTCAAACTGAGGGAAGGAGAAGGGGTGTGCATATGGCCTAGGGAAGGGGTGGAGGAGAGGAGATATGATTCAGGCCATATGTAGGCAAGAGGAATGTGGCTGGACCTGCCCAAGGAAGGACAAACTTTTCCCACTCAAGGTAGGACATAGACCATAAACAGTCTCTGCACATGAACATGCATGAATGTGAACACACATATAAAGAGCAATGCACATGGGAGGTGTGAACACACATGAACAGGAAGGTGAGGTATGAATATGCAGGAGCAAGATGAGGTATGGAATGAGCACGTGAAGTTGTATGAATGTGTTATAGTTATGCCAGCACAAGGCTGTATGGAACACAATGGTGAAGCTGTACATGTGAAATGATATCACATGACAGCATGAGCCCACCTGTGTGAAGGCTGTAGGTATTATACCAGTACCTGCATGTGTACGTGTATGTGCTTGTACTTCTAGAAGAGGCAGTGATTTCTGCCCCAGGGCCTGCTCTGAATGCCAGGCCAAGCCTCTCCGGCAGCACCCTCTGTGACTCAAGGCTGGGAGGGGCCACCACACCAAACTTGTTTGAGGGGGGAAGTGGTTTAGGGAAACAGAGCCTCAATAGAGGGGCAGGAGAGGGTGTGGCCAGGAGCAAAAGTTTGGCACGTAAGAATCTTGCTACCCCTGATGAACATGCCCAGAAATGCCCCCTTCTTATTCCCTCTTCTTCTCTGTCTTAGGATTCCTCCCACCACCGACTGCAAGACCTTGTCCCCTTCACCAAGAATTCTGCCCAGTCCAGAGGCTTGTCACCACTGAGGCTGAAAGAGCCAGAGCCTGAGAAAAAACATGGCGGATATTTTGGGTCTGGCCCTTTAAACCCCCCTAAAATCAAGGTAAAGGACCCTTTCCTGAATTCTTCCTCTTTGCTGCCCTAGCAAACTCCTGCAACAGAAGAGGGAGAAAGAAAGAAAGAAAGAAAAGAAAGAAAGAAAGAAAGAAAGAAAAAAGAAAGAAAGAAAGAAAGAAAGAAAGAAAGAAAGAAAGAAAGAAAGAAAGAAAGAAAGAGAAGAAAGAAAGGAAGAAAGAAAGAAAGAAAGAAAGAAAGAAAGAAAGAAAGAAAGAAAGAAAGAAAGGGAAGGAAGAAAGGAAGAAAGAAAGAAAGAAAGAAAGAAAGAAAGAAAGAAAGAAAGAAAGAAAGAAAGAAAGAAAGAAAGAAAGAAAGAAAGAGGAAGGGAGGAAGGAAGGAAGGAAGGAAGGAAGGAAGGAAGGAAGGAAGGAAGGAAGGAAGGAAGGAAGGAAAGAGAGAAAGGAAGAAAAAAGAGAAAGGAAGAAAAAAGAGAGGGAGGAAAGAAGGAAGGGGGAGAGAAAGAAAAAGAGAGAAAGAGAGAGAAGAAAAAGAAAGGAAGGAAGGGAGAAAGAAAGAAAGAGAAAAAGAAAGAGAAAGAAAAAGAAAGGAAGGAGGAAGGAAGAAAGACAGAAAGAAAGACACACAGTGATCCAAGATATCTCCAAAGGACTCATGATGGAAAATGCTATCCACAAGCAGAAAAAGAAGTATGGAGTCTGAATGCAGATCAAAGCATATTATTTGCTCTCTCTTTTTTTTTCTTTTTTGTTTGTTTCTTCTTTCTCTTAGTTTCTCCTATTGGTTCTAATTCTTCTTTACAACACAACTAATGTGAAAATAGGTTCAATATGAATGTATATGTAGAGCCTGTATCAAATTGTACCCTGTCTTTGGGTAGAGGGAGGGGAGAGATGGGGAGAAAATTTGGAACTCAAAATTTTAAGGAAGTGAATGTTGAAAACAAAATAAATAAATTTGAGAGAGAAAAGACAGAAGGAAAGAAGAAAGAAAGAAAAGGAAGGAAGGAAGGAAGGAAGGAAGGAAGGAAGGAAGGAGGAAGGAAGGAAGGAAGGAAGGAAGGAAGGAAGGAAGGAAGGAAGGAAGGAAGGAAGGAAAGAAGAAAAAAGAAAGAAAAGAAATTATATAAGCCAAGTCATTTTATTATGAATACATATCCTAGTTCAGATAGACATTGTGCAAATATCATCTTTGACACTTTCTTGCTATGTGATATTGGGTAAGTCGCTTAACTTCTATGTATTTTAAACAAGTCACTATAATTTATCTGCTAAGTAAAGGATCATGGATTTAGTGTTGGAAAGGACCAGAGAGGTCATCTAACACAACCTCCTCATTTTACAGATGAGGTAGCCAATGCCATAATAAGATTAAACAGTTTTCAGGATTAGGCAGTAATAAGTGTCAGAGTCTGGGTCTGAACCTAGGTCCTGTGACCCCAAATCCACCATTCATAGATGGATTGCAATTTGCATCAGGAATCTACAAATTTCCTAGTACAGACTTTCAAGGGTATTGGGAAAAGAAAGAAAAGGAATCTTACACCACACATGATTATTTGTTAACCCCTGTTTTGAGAGTGGTAATGACAATAATAATAATAACTGGTGTTTATCTACCACTTTTTAATATACAGTCTCTCATAATCTAACTGCATCATCTATAAATTTTACATATATTATCTCATTTCATCTTCACCACAGCCCTGTGAGGAAGGCACTAAAGGTGCCTCTAAGGGAAAAAACTAGATAGTAGAAGAAAATAAAAGAAAGAATAACATGGTGGGAAATTGAAAAAACTCTTGGATAGGGAATCAGAAGATGTGAGTTCTAATTGTAGCTATAGTTTTGAATCTTAGTGACCCTGAACAAATCATTTTTACCTCAATGGGTCTCAGGTTCCTCTTCTGTCAAATGGACCTGTTGGATGAAATGAGATCTGATGCCCCTTCCAGCTCTGCCACCTTGATTCTATGAGGTAGAAAGAAGCAGGGTCCCTAGATGCTTTGGGATCTCTCTGTCTAAATCCATGGAAGAAGTCAATCTAGAGAGCTCCCTCTGTGCAGTCTGAACATCTGTGAGGGGGTATGAAGGATAGGGGCCCCCTCTGGCCATATTCCAGCCACCCTGCTTTAAATCTTAGAATTTGCCCCTACTCTCTCCAATGCCAAAGACTTCCCTAAGGCCTTCCATTGCTCAATTTATGTGCTCTGCCTATGGGGTCTTGCCCTGACCTTCATCTTTACATCACCCAGGAGGTGGCCAAGGCCCGACAGCTGGAGATGAGGCTGCATACATTCAGCATGTTTGGGATGCCCCGCCTGCCCCCTGAAGATCGGAGATACTGGGAGATTGGGGATGGGGGAGACAGTGGCTTGACAATCGAGAAGTCCTGGAAAGAACTGGTACCTGGACATAAGGTAAGGATGGGAACACAAAACACCTACATACTTATAGCCTTAAGACATATGCACACATGTATATGCATATACAGTCACAAACATGCACATTCATTCCTGAACACAGACCTGCATATGTACTGGTACTTGCACTCGTGGGTGCGTGCACACACACACACACACACACACACACACACACACTCTTCTAAGAAAAGTAACCCAAAGAAGCAGGATCCTGGGTGGGAGATCCTGTCTGTCCTTCCCTCCTTCCCCACCCCACCCCAACCCCACCCCAACCCCATTTCCATGTCCTTCACTCTTCTACTAAGCCAGCTCCTTGACCCCATCCATCCCCAGGAGATGAGCCGGGAGCTCTGTCACCAACAGGAGGCACTATGGGAGCTAGTGACCACTGAGCTGTCCTATATTCGAAAGCTGAAGATCATGACTGACGTAAGCTTTCCCAGGGCCCTTCCCCACCCATGTGTTTTCTCCGACTCACCAACTTTGACTAGCATCCTCTACCTTTCCTCAGCCTCCTCCCCTCCCAGCAGCGGCAAGGTCCCAGAAGGGAGGAAGATGAGTAAAGATGAGAATTGCGGAGAATATCTATATTGGGTTTATATTCCTTGACCTCAGACTGATAAGCCAAGGGGTGAGAGGATCAGAGTTACTTGATGCAAGGTAACGGGAAATGTAGAGATTCATGCTTCTGAAGTCTGTGTCTCCTTGTCCCCATCTTTCTTCGTCTAGCTCCTGGCCGCTGGTCTCCTGAATCTACAAAGAGTGGGGCTTCTGACAGAAGTGAGTATGGCACTTGGATGCAGAGCTGGGTGGGCTTGGTGGGTACAAGGTCCAGTCATGGCCTGGCATAGCCCTAAACACTGAATTCCAGTAGTGGAAATGGTTTCTCCCCTAACCATCAGTCATAGAAGGGATATATTGAGCTCCTCACCTAACCCCCTTTTCCCAGAGTTCTTCCATCCTTGACTTTCTTAGTCCCTTCTGTCCTCCACCTCCCCAGATGCAGAGAACTCTCAGGCTCTACCTGCAGCCATAACTTCTTTTATCTCCTTTCTTAACCATGCCAACCCTGGGTGATGAGAACATGAGAAGAAAAAAAAAAAAGCAGAGCTATTCATATTTCAGGCCGACTGTCTGGTTCTCATCCTACTTGTTGCCTGTTTTCATTAGGGCCTGATGCTGAAAACAGAAGCCCTGATACATCTCCATACCTTTTTTCAAGGTTCTAGTTGAGTCCTTATTTGGAAATGTACCAAACCTGATCCGCACTCATCAGAGTTTCTGGGAGGAGGTGCTAGGGCCTACCCTGGAGAAGACCCGCGTCTCAGGCCAGCCTCTGGACCCTCTCAGCCTGCAAGATGGCTTCTTGACAGTGAGCTATGGGTGGGAATGGGGGAAGGGGGTACTTTGAGATCAAGGCAGCTGCTTGAGGACTTCAAATGGTAGCTGGCATGTTGACCCGTCATGTTAGTTTTCCATCTTGAGCCACGAGTCAGATCATCAGGTGGAGTGAGACCATATGATTTAAACTATGCTATAGTCTGAAGGGGTGCAAGGGGCAGGATTCCATCTCAAACTGTCAACCCCCACTATTGTTCCATGATTCTAACTTCATTTCTTCAGGTCTTAAAGGTTTGGGGGTCTTTAGGTGCCTCATAGTAAAATGACAATACTCCTAAAAGGGATCATACCTTAAGCCCTTATCAAGAAAACCCTTTAATGGAAAACTTGAATGGACTGATGCTGAGTGAAGTGAGCAAAACCAGGAGAACATTTTACACAGTAATAGCAACATTGTCCGATAACTAACTATGATAGACTTAGCTCTTCTCAGCAATGCAAGGATCTAAAACATCTCCAAAAGTCTCATGATGGAAAGTGCTATCCACATCTAGAGAAAGAACTATGGAGTCTGAATGCAGATCGAAGCATACTATTTGCTCTTTTTTTTCTTCTGTTTTGTTTTGTTTCCTCTTTCTTGTGGTTCCTCCTATTGGTTCTAATTCTTCCTTACAACATGACTAATGTGAAAATATGTTTAATAGGAATGTATATGTAGAGCCTATATCAGATTGCATGCCATCTTGGGGAGGGAGGGGGAGAAAAATTTTAAACTCAAAAGCTTATGGAAGTGATTATTGAAAACTAAAAATTAATTAATAAAAAAAAGAAGAAAAAAGAATTAGGAGGATTCATTGAGAGCCTGCTAAGAACAAGAATAGATGATTAAAGTAGGCAAGCACCTCACATCTTTGCTTTGATGAAAGGAGAGGAGAAGCCACTGGGAGGAGACAAAAGTCCCAGAGACAGATATGCTAGGACAGAGTTTTTGCCAGAACAGGCTCTACACATCCTACCTGAGGGATGGTATAACAGCTATGGGGAAAATCAAGTCTTCTACCTACAAGAAGAGGCACCTCCTGGGCTTCCCCTGAGGTCCCACTTGCCTCCAGTGGGGAAATGGGAACCTCCTCCTCTCTCCCCACTTGATAAAAATTTCCATTTCATGATTGATGCGGAATGGACAGCAGGACCAGAGAGTTGCCAGGGACCATAGCTGGAAAGAACAGAGAGGAGATTAGGGAAATGCTAGCTTCATCTATTGCAGCAGTGAGCGGGATGACCCAAAAAGTATTCCCACAACTCTATGTACCAAGCTTGCTCGAAAGCTCCAACATGAATGGGATGCTAGAAGATGGGGCTTAGCCTAAACCATGCCTAAGGGTCTGTTTGAGGAATAAGCGATGCTATCACCACCATCCCCCACCCACCAATCTCCATAGACAATGTCTGAAATTACGATTTGATCATTTTAATTTTCTCCACCACATTCCTCTGTGCTCCCACCCACCAACACCCCAAGTTTAGCCAACGGTTCCAGCCATATATACAGTACTGTCTTCGAGTGAAGCAAACCATGGCCTATGCTCGGGAACAACAGGAAAACAACCCTCTCTTCCAGACTTATGTGCAGGTTAGTGTTAGTCGGCAGGAAGCCAAAGCGGGGGGGGGGGGGGGGGGGGGGGAGTTGGGTAGTGGGGTAGGAGAGTGTCTGCCTATTGGTAAGGATTTTTATTGGCTCCTCCAGGTGAATATTAAACAGCCATCCCTCCTCTCCAAGAAAGGCTCCTAAGGCTTTGCTAATCTTTTTTTTTTTCCTAAGGTAATTGGGGTCACGTAGCTAGTGTCAAGTATCTGAGGTCAGATTTGAACTCAGGTCCTCCTGACTCCAGGGCCAGTGCTCTATCCACTGTGCTGCCTAGCTGTCTCTCTGTTAATCTTAAGGAGCAAAGGATGAGAGTGCATTGGAGCCTCAGGCACTTGGTGGAAGTTACTCTTTTATAGTTATTATTGCCTGTATCCATGGTACTTCTTGACCCCTGATCTCTCTCTCTCTGAACCCCAGTGGTGTGAGAAACACAAAAGGTCTGGACGCCAGCAACTCAGTGACCTGCTCGTCAAACCCCATCAGCGAATCACAAAATACCCTCTGCTGCTCCAGGCTGTGCTCAAAAAGACCCCTGAGCCCCAAGCCCAAGATGTTCTCAATGCCATGGTAGGGATAAACAAAGGGCCTAGCCTTTCCAGGGAACTCCTGAGAAAAGTCTGTTTCTCCATCTATCAAATGAAGTGGTTAGTCTAGCTCTAACAGACTATGTCTTGATTCTCCAACTGTGCTATCTATGATTCTGTGTCTCTGTCACTCTTTGGGGGAGGGTTGGAAGAGCCAGAGTAGGCTGAGTGTGACAGTCTCCTTGCTGGGTCTAGATTTCTTCTGTGGAGGCTTTCTTACACCATATCAACAGTCAAGTGCGTCAGGGGGAGGATCATGACAGCTTGGCAGCTGCTGCCCAACGGATTGGGCCCTATGAAGTGCTGGAACCATCCACTGAGGAGGTAGAGAAGGTAAGAAAGCCAAATACATAGATAGACAGAGAGTTGGGAGAAAGGGAAGGAGACTGGGGTAGGGGGACAGGCAAAAGGAAGGGAAAAGGAGAAGGGGAAGGCAGCATTAGGAAATGAGAAGCATGAAATTATTCCAAATTAGGCATAGAGGAAGGGGAGAGATGACAGAGCCTTGTCTCATTGGAATTTGGGGTCAGGTACCTTATCCACTAATATTGTTTCCCTGTCCCTCCTAGAACCTGCGTCCCTTCTCCAACCTAGATCTGACCTCCCCCATGCTGGGGGTCGACCACCAACATACCCGGAAACTGCTACTAGAGGGTTCTGTTCGAATGAAGGAGGGACGAGAGGGGAAGGTGAGGGAGAGGGCAGAGACGGGGGGGGGGGGGGGGGGGGGGGGGGGGTGTTAGGGAGAGACAACAAATAAAGGAGCTGGGGGGAATAGACGTTGAAAGAATAAGAATGGGGAGAGGGCAAGAAAGATGGAGAGGCTTGGGGCATAGAAAGAAGGGATAGAAGATAGAGCAGATGAGAATGGAGGGCAGGAGAGCTGCAAAGTGGGACAGAGAGGGCTCGGGGACTTTCAAAGGCCTTTTCTATGTGCATCCCTATCTATGTTCCTGAGTCTAGCACTATGTGACATAACATTGGACTATGTGCCCATGTGACCTTAGTCATGAGACTTGGGTTTTGTTCCCTCCTTAACTCTTCTATTAACAAGTCGAGAACTTTGGGCTTATAATTTCTGGATCTCTCTTGTCCTGCTTCCTCATCAGCAAAATGTATGGATTAGATTAGACCAAGGTCTCTTCCAGCTCTAAAGGTCCCCTGTGGTCCTCTCAGCTGTGCTTACTGTCTTCTTGTGCATCTTTGCATCCGTGTACACTCTCACCCAGAGCTCCCTTAACCTGTAATCTTTCCCACCATCTTATAACAAGCTTATCACTGTCTCTCTCCCTGCCCGCTCCTAGTTGGACGTGTACCTGTTCCTATTCTCTGATGTGGTTCTGGTGACCAAACCCCAGCGCAAGGCAGACAAGGCTAAAGTCATCCGCCCGCCCCTCATGCTGGAGAAGCTTGTGTGTCAGTCACTTCGAGACCCCAGTATGTCATTCCTGCCCTGAACTCCTCCTTTTGCCTCAATCCTTCCTCCTTCCTCTCCCCAATGCCCCCTTGGCTCAATGAAGGGGGAGCAGGGAGCAGGAGAAGGAAGAAGCCTCCCCTCTGCCTTCCTGAAGTTCCTATGTTTTTCTCCACCCCAGACAGCTTCCTGATGATCTACCTTACTGAATTCCTGTGTGTCTCCAGCGCCCTTGTCTTCCATTGTCCCAGCCCAAATGAATGTGTTCATTGGCAAGAGAAGATACAGGAGGCCCAGGTACTCTGTGGGTGCAGCCTGGAGAAGAGTTGGGGCAAGGCATAAGGAGAGACCTACTGGGGCTGAGAAACAGAGCGAGGGAAAAGGAGAACGAGAGACAGAGAGACACACTACCTCACGGAGAGAGGTTAGACGGGTTAATGGCTATAACTAGTTTCTGGACCCCCTGGGGTGCTGGCTCCTCTGGATGAGGAGACGTGGTTTGCTCACTGATGCATGAAGTAGGATGGAGAAGAGTCACCAATTAAATAAAACACAGGCTGTAATCTTTGTCCTCAAAGAGTGTATAATCTAGTGGCTCTGAGACAGAACTTACATACTTCAGACAATTAAGTACTGAACTTCATGGCATGAATACACTAGACATTTCTGAGAAAGAAAAGATAAGTGTGAGCTGGGGTAGTCAAAGAGGCTTATAGAATCATCAATTTGTGGTGACAGAAAAGATCTTAGTGATCCAGTCCAACTCTGTAATTTTACAGATGAGGAAACTGAAGCACCAAGAGGTGATATAATTTTATGATTTTTATATTTGTATGCATGTTGTATCAATATATTTATGATATAATTTTATATGCACTTTAACATGTGCAAAGCACTTTACAGATATTATCTCATTTTATCCTCACAACGACTCTACGAGGTAGGTGCTAATATTATTCCCATTTTACAGATGAGGACACTGAAGAAGATAGAGGTTAAGTGATCTCCCTAGGGTTACACAAGTAGAAAGTGCCTGAAACCACATTTTAATTTAGATCTTCCTGACTCTAGCTAGGTCCAGCACTTAGCTGGCAGCCTTCTCTGATAACCATATTGTCTACCTGCAAGTCCAAGGTTCTTTCTATCATTCCACAATCACAGGATTTAGAGCTGGAATGTCAGTTATTGTTCAGTCATTTTTCAGTTGTGTCTGACTCTGGCAAAGATACTGGAGTAGTTTGTCATTTCCTTCTCTGGCTGATTTTACAGATAAGGAAACTAAGGCAAACAGGATGAAGTGGACTTGCCAGGGTCACACAACTAGGAAGTGTCTGAGGCCAGATTTGAACTCAGAAAGATGACTCCAGGCCCAGTGCTCTATCCACTATGCCATCTAGCTGCCCATATTAGGGCTGGAAAGGGCCTTAGAAATCATCTTGTCCTGTTCTCTTCTGGCTTCATGGAAGAGGGTGAGATTTGAATTGGGCCTTGAAGGTTGAGTAGAATTTAGATTAGGGGATAGCAGCCCAGGCAGCAGAAACGGTGTGAGTAAAGGCAGTGTATGAAAGAGAGGAAGGACACCAGCCTGTCTAGAGGGGAGGTCACATAACAGGGAACTGTGGGAAAGAATGATTAGGTAGATAGCCTGGGGACAGGTAATGGAAGGCTTGAAAAGAATTTAGACTTGTAAGCATCGGTAGAAAACAAAGAGACATTGTAGATTCCTGAGAAGGGGAGTGATACAATTAAATCTATGTTTGAGAGATTTGCCAAGCAACTGCATACATTAGGTGGATCGGAGGGGAGGGAGACCTGGAGTGGCAGAGAGGTCAGTTATTAAAGGACTGATCCAGCCATGAAGCAATGATGACCTGGACCTCAGTGGTAACGGGGAGAACAGAGGAAAATGCAAACCTAACAGATTTCAAAGGAAGAACATAAAAGAGAAAGAACTGATAAGATAGGTTCCAAGGTTTCTTACCTAGGCTAGATATTGACAGATATGGAATTATTGGACAGGGATATGAGAAAATTGTATTTAATAAGTAATTATTGAATTAGGACCAAGGCTTTTCCCCTTTTCTACTTCATCATTCCGAAATCAGCCCCTATAGGTTGTTACTCAGGCAGCCTTTGAAGTGCAGGGCTAACACTGACTGGGAGAACTCAGATCGGTTCAAAAGGTAGAATTAGGTAAATGGATGGATTCTGGCCCGTTGTGTTTGGGAATATATGGATCTGGGAATATATGGATTCTCCCTTTTGTCAAACACGTGATATGAATACAGTTAATTCTCTTTGACCAAAACTGACTGATCAGTCATGTACAGCTGACCCTCATTAGAATAGGTCCACCTCTCATTATAATATTCATTCTCTCAATTGTTAACCAATTAGAGTTAATTTCCACTCTCAGGAACATTCACTCATCCGAGGGCACATAAGCATTGAATGAGTTCCATGAGGGGTCTTCGGTCTAAGAGAGACAGCCAAATGACCATCCTTTTATTAATAATATCCTAGCATTATTAATAAAATGATTGCCCAGAAACTATGTCTCTCAAACTTTTTATATGTTACAGATACCTATTTTTGGAAAGAAGATAGAATTTGGGGCCCAGAAATGTAGGTACATACCATACTGGCAAGTGAAAGAAGAGAGTCAACAAGAGATATTTAGATATACCAATAAGGAATGAAGATGTAAATGAGGGAATTATTCAATATTTCAGTGTGCCCAGCATTAATTAATCAGCCAGATGCTGCTACTAAATGTACAAGACATTCTGGTTAGGTGCTAGAGATAGAATGATGAAAAATGATTGTCTCTTCTCTCAAAGATCTTATGAGTTAATCAAGAAGTGGGATACAACATGTGTACAAACAAATAAGTCTATTGTTATATTTAAGGGTTGTATCAAATGCCAATGTATCACATAGACATTGTATCAAAGAATCATGGTACAATATGATTATTTGCGGGCCTTAACTAGATGGGCTTTAACTAAGGTGGTGACCATTTCAGAACTTCAAGGAGGCACAGGGACAGTATCCCTGACCCATATTTTCAGCCCCACTGCATGCCATTGTATAATAATATTTAGTTTCTCCTTCGTCCACCCTCCTGACCCCTAGCCCAAGTATGGCTACAAAGTCCTATTTCTGTACTTTACCGAGGACGGTAGCCATGTGAGTGGAGAGGATGGGACTGGCAGGGAGAGATATTTTTGGAAACTGAATGAACAGGACTTGGAAGAGGACTGAATGTAAAGAAGGAGAAAGAGTTAAAGATAATTCAAAGATTTTGGTGCCCAAATGACCCAAAAAGAGGAAGTCTGGAATTTATTAGAAAGTGGATTGTTTTGGAAATGTTGAGTTTGAGATACTTGTGGAATATCTATATGAAGAGATATCCCAAGGGTCTGTGGCAGATCACAACAGCACAGAATGTTGAGTTGGAAGGGGCTACAAGGGCCATTTAGTCCAAGACGTTAAGGAAGTGATTGGGGCTGGACATAAAGATTTGGGAATTATCTGCATAAGAGAAAACAACTGAAGCGATAGGAATGGATATTTGGCAAGGGAAAGAAGAGAGAGAAGAGAGAGAAGGACAGACACTTAGGAGGTGGGAGAAAGAGTGACACAGTAAATAAGACTGAGGAATGGTCAACTTGGTAGAAGCAGAATCAAGAGAGAATAGTGCTACAGAAGACAAGAGTGTTAAATGCTGAAAAAAGGCCAAAACTGAGAAAGACCAGTAAGCAATTAAGAAGCCATTGGTGATCATGGGGATGGCTAGCATTTACATAGAGCTTTAAAATTTTCATAGCACTTTACAAATACTATCTCATTTTGTCCCTACAATAACCCTCAGAGGTAGGAGTTATTAATATCCCCATTTTATAGATGAGGATATTGAGGGGGACAGCAGTTAAGCGACTTGCCCACAGACACATAGCTAGTAAGAAGAATCTGAGGCTGAATTTGCACTCAGGTCTGCCTACCTCCAGGTCCAGTGCTCTATCTATTGGGCCACGGAGACAGTATTGAGTAGAACGGTGAGATTATAAGACAGATTGCAAGGGGCTGAAAAATAGGTGGTAGAGACATAGAGACAAATTACTCTTTCTAATAGTTTAGCAATGAAGGGTGGGAAAAATATACGACAAGAACTGGAGTGTTTTTTCAGTGTAAATAGGTGTCTTTTTTTTTTAAGCATGAGGAGTCAGTCGCTCATTTAAAGGTAAATACGGAAGTTAAGCTTACCTAGAGTGGATGGGAGAGGGAGAAGGAGGATGAGAGAATAAAAGTAGAGAGGAGATAGAAAACAGGAAACTATTTCTCCTTCTGGCATTCCCAGGCAACAAGTGGATCTCCCAAACCCAAATCATCCCCCAGGAGCCTCGTTGGTGGGAGGGTATTCTATCTCAAAAAACAACCTGCATATTCAGAACATAACACCCCAAACCCCATTCAATTATGGGAGGGATTTCCAGAAGGAGGGTGTCTTCTTTCAAGCAGAAGGGAGCCTATTGTTCAAAGGAGGGTCTGGCAAAGGAAAACTATCACTGGTCTTGTGGAGGGAGGTGTTTTTTGTGGTCCTGCTGCCAACTTAAGATCCCTTCTTCGGCTCTGAATTTGTCTATTTTGCCTTTCACTCAAACAGGCCACCCTGCAGAAATTAAAGACAGAGGAATATGTACATCAGAAGAGGGAGCTCCTGGCCTTATATAGGGACATCGAGTCGCCCAGCACCAGGCCTCCGACCCCCTCTCCTGACGGCTCTCAGAGCAGTGTAGAAGACCACAATCTGGAGAGAAGGTAGATGCAATTATCCACATCCCCAACCAACTGAGTTATAGGAAGGGGGACCACAAGGGTAAGACAGATCATTCAGAGGGAATGGAATGGGTCTGGAGTATTTGGAGCCCAGGCTAGCTAGACTAAGTGATGGGTAACTGCATTAGACATTAATTCAAGAGCACTAGACAGGCCTAGGGGGTTAGTAAGCTGGGGAAGTAAGAACAGCACTGGGTAATCACGACAAAGACAACAATTATAAGTTCTCACACCTTCAGGGTATAGAAGAATGTGTTTGTGCAGTCATAGAATTGTGCTGCTAGAAGAAACCTTAAATTCCCATATTCTATAGATAGGAAAGCAGGCTTAAAGTGATCTGCTCCAGGTAACACAGGATTACTCATTCCCAAACTAGCACTTTTTCTCTCTCACCACAGTGCTGGAGAGGAAAGGAATCTCTCTTTAGAGAGATTCTCTTCTCGGAGAAGTGGGAGATCACTTCTAGCTGAAGCAAAAACTTTCGAGACAAAATTTGACTCAGTTCTTGTTCTCCTACATAACAGATCTTCAGAGTTTTCAACCATTGTCCCTCAGCTGGTGGTCACAGAAGACAGAGAAGACTCTTCTCTCGGCCTGGATGACGGTTCTGACAGTGGCTATGGCACAATACCCGGCTCCCTCCATGGGTCCCAATCCCCACTGACCCGGAGACGCTGGCCTGCCCTCCGCCAGGACCCCCGACTCACCCTCTCCACCCTGGACCTCCGAGACATCCCTCGAAGACTCCAGTCTTCCAGTCCCCATGCCCCTCAAAGACAGAGTGCCCCTGACCTCCCTGAGGAGGATATTATCCAGAGAGGGAATAGCCTTCCACGGAGGGAGCCCCCATCCTGGTCTGAGAAAGAAGAGGAGGAAGAAGGATCCTCGACAGGAGGGGATGTAGTAATGGAGACTCTGCACCGAGCTAGGCTTCGGGGACAGCTACCTCCTTCACCATCTCAGGTAGACTCAGCAGGAGAGAGCCCCTGGGACTCCTCAGGGGAAGATGAGGAGGAAAGTCCTCTGTTTGTGGTACCCAAACGCTATTCCACATCGTACTCCCTACGGGCAGAAATGCTCCAGGAGATACGGGAGGACCTGGCCAACCAGAGGATTGATGGAGTCACAGAGACAGTGAGAGAACCCAGGGACAGTCAGCCCCGGAAGCTGACGGTAGTCGAACTACAAAGGATGCGTGGGTCTCAAATCATACAGCTAGATACCCCATTAACCACATCGTAAGTACTGCCTGGAAAGAGAGTATGAAGGAAGGCTTGGGAGGGGGTGTATAAAGAACAGTAGTGGGGAAGGGTAATACGGAGGGTGAAAAGCTCGATAAAAAGGTTGGCCAAAGGGAGGGAAGGGGCACCCTAGCCAGAATCTTCACTACTAACTAATCCCTGTTCACTCTTTGACCCCTTCCCATGCATTTGAAACATTAGAGTGCTACTGATGCTCCCCTCACCCCTTTTCTCTATCTCTTTCCAGGGAGGTATAGCCTCACTCAGGACATCTAAGATTTCTCCTAGAGGACATCTGATCCAAGGACTATTGGTCACCCACCCACCTCAGCCCAAAGCCAGACCCAGGCATCCACCTGCTCCATGAAAGTTTGGGATCAAGATTGTAAATTTCTGTATCATAAACACTCTTTAAGTTCAAATAAAATTCTGTATAGAAAATAGTGACTGGAGTGGCTGGGTGTGAAGTGAAAAGTAGTTGTTGTGGTGAAACCAGAAGAGGGCAGTACAAGCCTGGACAACATATTTAACTCTTTCACAACAGAAACTAGGAAACATTGCTCCCAATCTTCTTCCTCCTCAGGGTCTTCCAGTTCTGCCTCCATTCTCACACCTGCTGGTCCAAATTACAGTCATCCGGGTCTATGACCTAACTCTTGCCCCCTCTGATCTCTTCCTTTGTAAAGCCACTGGCTTCTCACAGCCAAAGCCAACACAAGACATGTAATCCATTTACTAAAATGATTCAGAGCTTTAATTTCAAAAATTTTAGTGTACAATATTTACAAAAAGATAATTCTGGCCTCTGCCTTCAGCCTCCTAACCCATATGACACCGAGCATTTGACTCCCACTCCTCTAAGCTGAGATAAAAGAGGAAACCATGTGAGGTGGTACGAGGAGAAAGGAATGATGCTGGGTTTACATTAGTGTAAAAAAAAACCTGTTACAGAGACTGCTTGTTTACCATGTATGGAGGAGCAGTGACCAAGTCAGAGAGCCCAAGCCTACTTATCTGTAGCCTGAGCTGCCCGTACTCCATCCATTAGTGCTCCACATTTTATCTGCATCCTCAGATGCATCCCAGAGATCCCCAACCCCACTCAGATAATGCAGAGTTTGGTAAAACTACACCCCACTTAGCAGTGTTCCTTTTACTTTTTGACATTCACATAGTGCGTAAATAGGTGAGAAAGTCAGGGTACACTAGGCCAGTGGACAACTGACAGCAGATAGCACCAAATAAACAATAAGCTAGGAGCACCCCAGAAATGGGGCTCCCCAAAGACTGCCGACTTGGATAAGTGCAGGGTGTTTTCAAAGTCATCCACCCAGCCTGCCCTGGGGCTCCACTGAGCCCTTCCTAGGAAGGGAAATAATCCTTGGGGACTAGGTCCCATATCACGAAGGGTCCAGAAGGGGTGAGGCCAAAAAAGGGAAAGCTGTGCTTGGTACAGCCTCACCTCAAGAGAAGGGGCAGAGGTCCAGAGGGGCTGCCCAGCTTCAAGGTCTCTGTGATGTTCTGCAGGCAACCACATAAGTCCATGTCAGTGAGCACCTGGGCCAGCACCTCCAGAGTGGCCTGGTGCCGGGGTACTCCCTTCTGCCACGCTGCCAGCATGCTGTAGTGGGCTTCTCTAAGGCAGCAGGGGTTCTGCATCTCAAAGAGTTCAATATCATTCTCACTCAGTCCCAAACGGCGGATGAACTCCCTCCAGCGGGAGGGAGGCACTTCATCTACCACTGCATACAGCTTGGCTGGCCCTGTGGGAGGTAGAGAGGGAAAGCATATGAAGGGATGCCAACCAGCTTCAGCAGTACAGAGCAATGGAAAGACTGGCTTGTAGCTGAAACCTTCCCATAGGCATTTTCTTCTCCATTCGAATGTGACCTCCCAACACGCCTTACTTTGCTCTTTTCTGTCTCCAGAGTTTAATTCAAGGCTTTGCAGAGTAACCAATCAACTCTTGATTCTTGCCTATGTTGTCTCTCCACCCCTCCACCCGTTATATTACAACCTTCTTGAGGGCAAGGGCTATCCTTTTTACTAAATGAATACCCAGCACTTAGCCTGACACATAATAGATGCTTAATAAATACTTATTGGATTGGATTGGACTGGATTGGATTGGACTTGGACCCCACCTCTGTGACCTAGGCCTTTGTGACTTTGGGCATATCACAACCCCTCTGAGTTTTTTCATCTATAAGAATAAATAGCCACTATTTACATAGCGCTTTTAAGGTTAACAAAGGGCTTTAGCAACATTATTTCATTTTATCCCTCGAACAATAGTGTAGGTGCTGGTAATAATAACAAATATTAAACACAGCTATAAAATTTGCTATTAGGTAATAGCAAATATGAACAATAATAAATGGGGATATTAGTTATCTCAGTTTTGCAGATGAGGAAACGGGCACAGGGCGGTAAAGTCACTTGTTTGGGATCACACGTCTGGGAAGTGACTGAGACAGAATGTGAACACGGCACTTGACAGTCGGGCTGAAACACGCCCAATTCCAAGCTGCTTTCCATTTATAAATCCTATTATCCTACAATTCTCACCCTACTTACCCTCCAAATTGCCCCACAAACCAGTCCTGGTCCAAACAAGTTTTTGCACAAGCGCACTCCTTTCCTATCCTGAGGGGAGGAGCCAGGCACCTCAGAGGTCAAGTTGGGTGGGGGGAGCACTCACGGTCAAGAGGTAAGGCGGTGACGTCAGACATGACGCAGTCTGATGGCATCTGGGCGCAGTGAATGATGGGTTCGGCCCGCTGCTGGGGCGGTGCCAGTGTCACGATAGGTTGTACATTGTACACAGTCGACCAGTTGCTTGAGGAGAAGGCGGAGGGGAGGGGAGGGGCCGCGGTGGAGACGGGGGCAGGGGCGGCGGCGGGGACGGGGACTGGAGAGGAGGTGAGGGTTTGGGAGGGGACAGGAGTGAAGTCCAAGGTAGTGGGTGGGACCAGAGCCCGCTTGTTTTCTTCCTGGAAGAATTAAGGGGAGGGGTCATGCCGGAGCCACGCCCCCTCTCCCTGAGGGCGGGGGAGGAGAGAGAGCGAGCTCTCAGCCCTGGTCTATATCCACAGGGGCTTCCCTAGCATGGAACCTTAAGGCTGTTTGTGGGGCAGAGGGGCTCAGCCAAGGGCATGATAAAAGAGGGGAGATGAAGGACTCAAGAAGAGATTTAGGGGGTTCGGGCTGTTTGTTAGAGATTCAGGGAGTGAGGTGTTGGGGAGATGAGGGGAGTAGTCAGAGACCACCACTAAGGGAAGAAGGAAGGGAGCAAAAGGGGGTCCCACATCTAGTCTCATCTTACCTCTTTTACAGGAGGAGACTGTCTCCCACAGACTGAAAAAGGAGAAACAAAGACATCACAATTTTCACTTCCCCATCGTGCCTTCCCTTTCCCTTCCCTACCCTGCGCCTTCCCCCCACAAAAAAGAAAAAAAAAACCTCACTACAATAGGGACCTGTAGTGACACGCACCAGAGCCTGTGTGCTTTCTCACCGACTGAGGGAACTCCTGACTCAGCAAAAGGTCATCTGCATCCCAGATGCACACTTCTTAACACTTCACTTGTCTGGGACCTTGGTTTCCTCCTCTTTGAAATGAGGGGGTTAGAAGATCACCTCCAATCTTCCTCCAGCTTTAAATATATGACCCTGTGACTCCGGCTATGTAACCCTCAGCAAGCTGCTCAACTTCCCCCCTCAGCCGGAGTTTCTTCTGCTGTAACATGGAAATAATACTGCTCCTACTCCCCACTTCACAGATGTTAGGCAAAAAGTTATATAAACCTTAAAGCTAAATACATGTGAAGTTATTACCAGTTACCCAGCAGCCCATCCCATAATATTTCTTATTTCTTATCCTCAACAAATACCACCCCAAGGCTCTACTCACCAATTACATACAGTTTGGACCTCCATCGTGGGTAATGACAAAATGAGACAATGAAGATGAGAGAGAAGCAACAAAACCCCAAAAAGATCACCAAGGGCATCAGCATTGGACCTAGCGACAAAGAAAATCTTAATATGTGAACAAAAAATATAAGGCCCATCTGGCCTCATTAAGGTGCTCAGATTCTTAAGATCTAGCCCACTTGTATCAGTGATACAAATGCTTAGATTCCTCAAGAGTCTGGCCAATACTGCGGATTCTTTAAATCTCAACCACCCCCAATTGATGTTCTAATAAACCTTGTCTTTGGCTAAAAAAAAAAATGTGAACAGAAAAAAAAAAGAAGGAAACAGGGAAAGAGAGGAAAGATGGAGGGGAAATTATTAATAGAGGGGAGCAAGGCTGGAGGAAATGGGGTAAGTGGGCATCAGCCTTACCTGATTGCTGTGATATAACAAAACTTGGGACGCAGATATCTCTGCAATTTTTCTCTGGCACACATCTAAAAGAGGAGAAAGAAAATGGGTAAATACGTCTGGCCAAATACAAATAGGTCAGTCAGTAACACTGATCTAAACCACGTGTATGTAAAGTCTTGCAAAGAGGCAGTGCAGTGTGATAGAAACAGTTGTTGACTTGGAGGTACCAAGACCTAGATTTAAATTCTGCATCCTTAATAGAAGTCACATCAGTTCTTTGACTTCAGTTTCCTCCTATGTAATAAATACCTTACAGGGTTGTTGTGAAAATCAAACGAGATAATTATGTAACTCACTTTGCAAAGCTTAAAGTAATATAAAAACGTAAAAGTAAAAATGTTAAATCAATAGAAAAACATAAACTGTTATTAGAGTAGTATATAAAGTCATCTCTTTAGAACAAATTCTAAAATGTTGTTCATATAACTTATGTTGGAATTTGATTGAATTGAATGTTGTTTCGATAAACAAATAACTTTTAAACAGGCTTTTGAAACAATGCTGGTTATTTTGCTTCAAATACATTTCAATAAAATACATATTATATATACTTCACATAGGCCTTTGATGAGATCTTGGAAATCTTGTTATACAGAAATTTCCATTGTAACTTTATTCAGCATAATGGCATTTGGCCTGCATTACACACTACTGGAAAATATAGAGAAATAAAACAAAATCAAAGAATTTTAGATATGAAAGGGATGGGTAAGACTTTAAATCTCCCTGGAACCTGTTTCTTTCTCTGTAAAATCAGGGAACTGGACTGGCTTGGCGGTATCAAACACATTGTCAGCAGCCCACAACATTCCCAAGTGCAGCCCAAACCAGATTAAAATGGAATTGGAAAATATTTAACAAAATAATTTTAAAATGCAATCGTTCAGTCATTTTTCAGTCGTATCTAATCTTCATGACCCCATCTGGGGTTTTCTTGGCAAAGATACTGGACTTGTTTGCCATTTCCTTCTCCAGCTCATTTTATAGATGAGGAAACTGAGGCAAACAGGGTTAAGTGACTTGCCCAGGGTCAT